AGGACGGAAAAGGAGTGTGCTATATGCCTGCTGAACTACAGGTTGTGGTCCGATTATGCTTAAGATTAATTTCCTCTCACCAAAAAAATACAACACATGTTTTTTTAACGTGAATGATATTGTGTTGATAAAATTTCAATTGTGCAACTACCACATGGGTAGGAACTAGTGATTTCATATGGAATAAAACCCAAGAGGGCATTAGACCTATACGAATAAAAATTCCTTAGTCGAACCAATATGGTGAACAAGGTAAACTGTTCATCTTAATAAGTATTACATGGTTTGCAGTTTATTTTTTTAATACGTGTTGACAATTTCCGCATATATAGGCATGTGTTACGATGAGAGATAATCCCCATTGGTACTTGGCTGTCATTAAGTTGGACAAGGAAGAAGTCCAGATCTTGGATCCACAACCAAATGAAGACCGCAATTCCTTTCGACTACAATCTGTTCAAACAATGGTAAATTTGTGACATTTTGCCGTTATAATGCAAAAAAAATGTAAATACCTCTTTCTAAATACAAACGTTTCTTAATTTGTACAGATGAGATTTATGCAAGCCTTGTGGAAGATTCTCTATCGTGAACAAGGTCCGGGATTGTCGCCACCAAGGATTGCGGAGGTCTCGTACACAAATCCTTCAAAGGATCAAGAACAACTTCATCGGTAAGTATGCCCATTTTGTGTGATATTAAACGACAGGTTATCAACTTGGTTCTTATCACGCAATGCTTTCATTTTATGTAGGTCTGACAGTGGAGTCTGGGTCTGCATGTGGATGTATGGCGCAAGCTGGGACTCCTCTTATATTTGGGTAAAGACAATTCTAGTTCGCATATTAGAAAACCACACTTGATTGTTATTTTTGAATCATGCGTACCATGTTTGTTGATGTTGATAGCCATGCACTCAAGTGAGGAGGATGCAGATCGCTTTGTACCTTGTTCGAGAGCCCATGAACTACATAAGGCATATGGTGCTCACGGAAGCAAGAACAGTTGCACCTCGAGTTGAAGCTGCAGTCCAAGAGTACAAGAAAGCCCATGAAAGGAGGAAAAAGGAAATAGAAGAGCACAAGGAAATCTAGTCAAAGAGCCCAAGGACAACCTAATTTTGTGTTTTTTTTCAAGATGATGGACAACCATGTTATGTTTTTTTTTTCTTCAAGATGATGGCCAACCATTTTTGGTTTGTTTTGGTGAATGCTTTCTATATTTGTTTTTTGGTTTGGTTTGGTTTTTCATGGAAACTATATTGACTTTTCGGACAGCCATCGCTTCCGAATTGAGTCTCAAAGTATCTAGCTTTAACCTGGCTACTACCTTAGCAAACAAGTGGAAACTTCCATCTTTCCAGTTACACTTTTGCACAACCTGAAGAGGGACCTTCTGGACTTGATCTCGAGCTCCCAAGTAATCCCTGGTGTTCACAAATATCCCAGGTTCAATACAAATCAATAAAATCTCATTTTCATCGAGCCATGCGTGACGAACAGGCTTCCAATGTGAGCTGCCCGAAATGGCAAAGGGACTTGACCAAAATTCCAACTTCCAACTTGTGTGTGAGGTTGCTTCTGTTCAAGCCATTGTATCTTGTAGAGAGGTCTAATTGAGATCATATCATTCCACTTTGTTCCCAATTGCCCTCGTCTAATTAAATTTGCATTCATGTATAGTTAACCCAAAAAGTAAAACTTATTGGCTCCCAATCAACATAATTAATGACCAAAACCCGTATAAGGCAGATAGAAAATTCTTAGGTAATTAATTTAATTTTCCTAGGATATGGAAAGGCTTCCATTCCTTGAATTTCCATCAACGATGTATGCACTCCCCTTTTAGTGAGAGAATTCATTGTATTAATAAATACAATAAAAAGGCTTACATAATTAATGGATTCTTTATAATATATAATTAAAACGGTATTTTACTATAAACGAAGCATGATAGATTCACCGGGGGAATAAAAGAAGCATGAGTCTTGATGAAAAAGGGGGAAAAATCACCATAGATAAAAAAATCATTATAATCAAGCCATATCCATACTATTCACGCCTATCATCGTCACTATACTTGTGACCAAGTATAAATAAAACCATAATTTTCAAAAACCATTAAAAATTGAAGATGAAATAAGTAACACATTCTTCGACCTAATTGGAACTGCTTAGAACAAAAGCGGATTAAAATCTCCCCCAATGAAATTCATTTGCAATTTCATAGGTAGACCCTACTTCCACTTCTATAATTTTGAGAAAACACCACTTCTCAACTTCATCCTCTCTCCAACAATGAAAGTCAATTGCAATTTCATCAATAGTCCCCACTCGTGGGCCCATTTCAATTGCAAGCAAATTAGCACACCAAGCAAATTTGCACGCTTGCAATGACACCCCACATCAATGCAATTCAAAGTTGCAATTGCAACTTATTGCCACATCAGCTTGCAAGTCACTATAATTGCACCATTGGAGATGCTCTTATGCAAATTTGCACCCTTGCAATAGCTTCTCACATCATAGCAATTTAAAGATGCAATTGCACCTCCTTGCCACATCATCTTGCAATTCACAAAAATTGTACCATTGGAGATGACCATTACTGCATCTCGTCACCTGTCTTAGGGAACTTAGCCATGGCAGATTCAAAAAATACTGCATGCATAGAAAAATCCAGGTCTGGACAATTCAAAAAATAGGAGACTTTCCTAGTCAGATGATGTACTGGCTCCCCTCAGTACCTGACAGTTTTGAGTGCTGGAGAATTAAGGAAAAGACAAAAGACTGGAAAAAAAACCCAACAAAGACTTAGGAAACTTGTTAACAGAAGACATCCATTGCTGGCCCCTTTGTTGCTCCAACGCTCCACCCCGCCCTACATCAATCGACTCTCATGTAAGCCATGGACGTTTGCTTGAGGAGGCCTCAGGGGTCTCTTGATATCTGTATGCCGAAGATCAATAAAAGTATTGGTCAATTCGGCTATACGGTACACCGGCAAATAAGCGCACTGGTCCTCCTTAACATAAACCCCCATATCCATCCCAACCCTTTCAAGAAAGGTGGTCACGAAGGTGGCATAGGGAAAGGCAGTATACCAGTTTTCCTCTTTAGGAGCAGCCTCAACCATGTTCAGGCACATGAGAGATGCGAGGTTAACAGGAACACCTCTTTGAGCTTGCACAAGGATAAACAAGTCAAGTTTACGAATAATAGAATGACCACGGTACATTGGTAGGAAGCAGTTGACGATCAACCAGTGGAGGAATCGAAGAGGATCTGGGAGGAAAGAAGCCTGGATGCGCCCCTTCGTGAGTTTTGCCAGTTCAACTTCAAACTCAAAATCGTACAGCCGACCAAGATCGCTTCTGCTCTCAATGGGGTGTCCTCCGGCGGGAAGATTAAGGATCTCAGCAAAATGATGAGGCTGGAAGCAGACTCTATGTCCTAGGAAGATCGACACGAGATGAGAATCACAGGGACCAGAAAGCTGTAGATTGTGGTAAAACTTCCTCACCACATGGGGGCAGTAACTGGTGCTTCCTCAACTCCGGAGATCAAAGAACTTTTCCCAACCAAGATTTTTTATTAACGTCTTCACTTCTTGAAGGAAAGTACTTAGGTGGATGAACTCGTACTCGGCCACAATTGTTGTTTTGCTTGTAAATGAAAGATAGTCACCGAGACTGGCGGTGGATCGGCAGTCTTCATTTGATAGAGATAGTATCCCCATTTCCGCAAACGATCTACTTTTGTTTGCCATGGAGTCTGGAGGAAGAAGGAACAAGGGGAAGGTGAAGATGGAGGAGAGAGAGAATGTAGGTGTAAGAAAAAGTGATCGTGGGGGTTGAGTCTGGAGACGTGAGTGTGATGGAGACGGTTGAGTCTGGAATGTCAAGAGTTAGAAGATTTTGGAAGATATTTAATGATGATGGTAACTCGTGTAGGTTAAACTAGGGTAAGTAAAGCTAGTTAAACTAGGGTTGGCGCACGAATTGATACAGCAGGAGAAATGAAATGGGCTCGCACGTTCCAGGCCCACTTTTGAATATTGCAGGGATCATGTACAAGACCACTTTTGAATGTTATTTAAAAGTCTGCAAAAATCAATGATCAGACCTAGTCCAACTAGAATTAGTCCTAAACGCACCGTTAATACATAAACACAAATTAAGGAGACCTCTCCATCAGATTCGAATCAAATTATATCTTCTTCATCTCCTTCCTCAATCCTCTAGGCGAGACGAACACTACATATCAGGAAACCTTAATTTCACCGAGTGATAGAAGTTTTGAGAAAATGACAATAACGGTAAGACAAGATGACAAAGCACTAGCGACATGAACCCTAGGGTTAGCAAAATGAAAAGTTTGATGAACACAATAATAGACATGGTCGCCATAATCGTGTTAGAAAGAGATAGGCGAGGGGAAATAAAATGGCGAAGAACAAACAAGACAAAATAAATTGGGAAATTCAAACTACGTCGAATATGGATGCAAGTAATTGGGATTCAAAAAGATGATTAAGTTGTGGAGTTCAAATTGGATGGGGAGCTTCTCTTGGAACTGTGAAGGGGCGTCCCTCCAAGACGAGAGAGGGATCGTGTAATTGGTTAGGGAGACTGGAAATTTGTTAGGGCGGCAGTGGGTCTACCTAATTGGGTTTACAATCTTAATTTATTTAATTTAATCGGGCCAGTTAGTTGGACTAGGATGAAAACAATCTTAACGTGTAAGGAGGTTTTTTGTAATTTGTTTAGTTATTTCGTGGCGCAGTTAGGTTTAACAAACGTGAGCCATGGAGATTGAAAATGAATGGTTAAGATCGGCCAAGGTACCCGTACCTCGGATTTTGCCCTAGGCACCGTAGAAGTCACCATATATATATATGGACTTGGACCGATTTCAGGGGGAGGAATTCAACCTAGTTATTCTGCTAACTTGAAGATTCGTTAGTATATACTAACTAATATCCAAAATGTATGAACTAATATCCAAGTCTGTTGAGTATCTAGATAACACAGACTAGTATTCAAAACATCACAAACTAGTATCCAGATAGCATATACCAACTAATATCCACAATCAACCAACTAGTATTCAATATGGATACTCTTATGTGTTATCTGGATACTCTTGTGTGTTATCTAGATACTAATTATGTGTTGTATGGATACTATTATGTGTTGTTTAAATATTAATTTGTGAATTTGGGATAATAGTTGATTCATGGTGGATATAAGTTAGCAAACTTTGAATACTAGTCTGTGTTCTCTAGATACTTTATTACTTGGATACTAGTTCATGTATTTTAGATATCAGTTAGTATCTGCTAACGAATCTTCAAGTTAGCAGATTAACTTTCCCCCGGAGGAATTAATTGGAGACAAATTGGAGAGAATTATTTGGACGGGTAAATGCCACATTTGGTCATTGAGATTACTAAATCATATCATGTTTAGTCACTAGAAAATTTTAATATCAATTTTGGTCACTTGAATTACTGAAATATATCACATTTAGTCACTATCCCATTAGTTTCTGTCCAACTCCATTAATTGAGTTGGACGGAAACTAAATGGAGAGTGACTAAATGTGACATGTTTTAGTAATTCGAGTGACCGGAGTTGGACAGATGCTACAGAAGAGTGACCAAATGTGACATGTTTCAGTAATTCGAGTGACCAAAATTTATATTAAATTTTTCTAGTGACTAAGCATGACACGATTTAGTAATCTCGGTGACCAAATGTGGCATTTACCCTTATTTGGACGGAACGAATTCTTTGGGGGAGAACAGCAAGCGCTGCGTGCGCGGGAAACTTCTTTGAAGCAGCAGCGCAGGCGACTTGCAAAGGGACAGAGGGCAGGAGAGATCACGTGGAGCTACGACCAGCGAATACGGATCGTGACCGTCGTTTGTCTCCTCCGAGTAGCTTCTTCTCTTTTCCTTGGATTAGTATTGTGAACAATAAAACTATCGTTATATTTTTTGATTTCGTCATGAACTAAACCCCAATATCTGGGGGGTGGGGGGTGGGGGGGGGGGGACACCATAGGATGTAGTTATTTCTAGATTTGATGGATTGATTCATATTTCTCTTCTTCCAATCTCTATTGCATGGAATTGCTTAATGCTTTGTGTTGACTCGCCACCAATACATCGATTTGTAGTTAATTAGGTTGTTAGTGACAGTGAAGCCCTAATAAATGAACCTATTTCACGTGACATAGTAACTTATCGAAGCGACAGTGGATTAAATAAGCTGTTATGCGGTCGTGATTGGGATATCGGTCTTCAGGCTAAATAATTAATTCATTGAGCTACGACGGTAGGATTTGAATTAATTGTTTAGTACGTAGTAATTCCCGACAGGGATAGCTAGCACATTCGTGATATCCTAACTGTAGAGAATTGGATTAAACCGATTAGAATATATGAATTAATTTGGATATGATAGGTAGTGAGTCCGGGTGTTTCTCCCAAAGCTTTCTCCATTAATTTCAACCCGACAATTTTAGTTGCTTATTTTGTTTAATTATTAGATAGTAGTTTCATCACTATAACATTTTCACCTGTAGTTTGCTCTATAAAGTTGATAGAATATAAGGTTGTACCAGTCCCCGAGAGACGATACCCGGACTTTCCGGTTTTACTACGAGATAGGATTGAGGCATTACGCTTTTGACCTATGATTATACTACACCCGGCTAGAGTTTAAAAACTTGGGCTTTAGTCGGGATTAATTCGCAGTGTAGTTCCGTGCGAGTATTTAATAACTGAAACAAAATTTATCTTACATGTATCTATTAAAAACTTGTTTTTCACAAAATAAATCTACCCAACCTCAATGACCCACTCACCATCTCCCTTCCGTCGTTCCTATTCCTCTCTTTGCCCTCTCTTCTTCTTCTTCTTCTTCTCACTTTTTAGTGGTCAGACCGGTAACTTTCTGAAAACTATTTTGAATCTCGATTTAAATCGAATCGAATCCAACCGAAGATCCAATACAAGTTTAACAACCTTGCCAAACACTTTTCCCAACAACTCATTCCAAGTTAATGGATGACAAATTAACAACCAATAGCAACACAAACAGCGCCGCATAAAGTGGACGGCCGGTGAGAACCCGGCACGGCGGCACCGCCGCAGTCATTATCCTCTTTACCAGGAGTCATCCTCGCCACGTCTACCTCATCGATTGGCCAATGTTCGATTCCATGCTCCGAAACAAAGTAACAAATTATTACTTTCCTTTTTCTTCTACTCCATCGTCATCCGTCTTTTTAATGCCCACCTAATCCCTCTACCATATGGAATCAACCATTTCTTGGCGAAGTCGCTCACTCTCACCAATCTTCCCTCCCCTGCCGCCATTCCGCTCGCCGCACCACCCAGTTGTCAAGCTCCCGTCGCGTTTCTCACTACCGCCGTGGTCTTCCATTTCCATGGCGTCGCCTCCCCTCCAAGTCTCTGCTTCGTCCGCCATTGGTATGTGGAAGAGAAAAAAATCAATTCTTCCCTCTTCCCCTTCTCGTTAAATTCAGTTTGCAGACATGGGTTGTCTTTATTTTCTGCGGAAGTCAATTGATTTGCCTCCAATTTTTGTTTAGGTGCCAAAGGCGACGAAGCGATGAAGACCGCTTCTTCTGGTCTCGTCGGAGAGACTGATCTGCTCATAGTCGGCCCTGGAGTATTGGGTCGCTTAGTCGCCGAGAAATGGCGGGAGGTAATGAATACGGTGATGCTTTCCTTCTTGTCGGGATATCTCAATTGAGATTTGAATTTCATCGCTTTTCTTATTTGTTTGTGTGATTGAGAGAGCAGGAAAACCCTGGTAGTCAAATTGTGGGACAAACGATGACTGAGGACCACCACGAGGAATTAATCAAATTGGGGATCAACCCTTCTGTAAGAGGGACTCAATCGAATCAACAGTACCCTTATGTAATCTTCTGTGCTCCTCCCTCTCGATCTGTTGACTATCCTGCCGATGTCAGGTGATAATAGATAATCACGGATGAAGTTCTATCTTTCTTTTTTTCTTAAATCTATGGAGACTATGGTTATGTAAACGTCTACGCATATGGCTTAAATCCAGGGAAGCTGCGTTGAGATGGAATGGAGAAGGCTGTTTCCTGTTCACTTCGAGCTCTGCGCCTTATGACTGCTACGACAATGGAGACTGCAATGAGGTGATGATGAACAAGCGGCTATTTCTGTCTTCGCCACTCTAAGAACATGGTTTCCCATTGTAAGTTATATATCCTTGGTACCTGAGTTTTGAAGTATGATTTGATCAGGACTCTCCAGTTGTGCCAATTGGGAGAAGCCCTCGAACAGACGTCCTTCTCAAAGCAGAACAAGAAGTTCTGGGACGTGATGGTTGCGTGGCTAGATTGGCTGGACTCTATATATCCTTTTTCACTCCAAGTTAGGCATGTTGTTTTGTGTGCTTTTGATTGGTTGACCTTAATTTGGACTTACAAATCAGATAGAGGTGCACATACTTACTGGTTAGAGAAAGGAACTGTCGACGTTCGGCCGGATCACATCCTGAATCTCATACACTACGAGGTGAAAACAAACTCATTGCATTTGTAGAAGGGTTTTCAAGTTTCTGATTATCCATTGTTCTGTAGAATATAGAGCCTTTCATGAAGTAGCAATTATGGTGGGTTCTTTTTATTGACAGGATGCTGCATCTCTCTGCATAACAATCTTGAAAAAGAAACTCCGTAGCCAGATTTTCTTAGGCTGCGACAACCATCCTCTTTCTAGGTACATCATATGGCTTTTGTTCGTTTTCACCTATAAAGTTAGGGCGCACTAAACCCTTTTCTTTCACAATGTGCCGACTAAAACGTCTGCCAGTCTCAGCTATGGGTTTGCTCAGATCAGCAAACCAATGGCTAAGACGCATTCTGCACTTTTGAAAGATGACTAGATGAGGGTGTTTTCCAAGTTAAGGGGGAGCATGTTTTCACTTCCTCCTCTTTCCAATTCATGCAGGCAGGAAGTGATGGACCTGGTTGCTAAAAGTGGCAAGTTTAGCAAGAAATTTGAAGGCTTTACTGGTATGCATTGCATCTCTCCTTTCTATCTGGTATGCTTTACTGGTATGCATTACTGATTCAACACGAGGTTATATTCTGTTATTGATATGCAGGAACAAGTGACCCTCTTGGTAAGAAACTAAACAACTCGAGAACGCGCCAGGTGCTCTCATGGGAACCTAAGTATCCCAGCTTAGCTCACTTTCTTGGAGTGGCCTCATCAGAATGAGTTCAACTTATTGGGGAACAAAATGTAATATCGAGTTGCACAGTGAATCTGAATAGAGAGGCGATGGTGCCATTGAAGAGAATAAGAGGTGGTTGTGCATTGTGATTTAGAAAATACACACCATCTTTAGCTGTCTGTTGCCATGTACAGATCAAGAGTTTGGAACTGTAAAGTACAACATGGTGAAGTATAGAGCAGAATTCGAGCCAACCATCCAGCAGCAGCCATGGCCACCGCGATTCTAGCGTTCAATCACTTTGTGTGCTTGAATGAGGCCATGGACTGGAAGAAGTACCGCCGGAGGAGACACAGATCACAACGCGTAAAACCTCGTGAATGGCACCTCTGTGGTCTGTGGAGGACCCCTAGAACCTCCATACCCTTCTTGGTAGCGAGCTCTGCAAGAGTGAGGTGGCGAGAATGAGTCTCGTCCATCATCCTGAATCCATAGAACCATCTCCCGAGCTTCCACCATTTTACACACACTTGCCGCTCGGAGATCCAGCAGCTCCTCAGTGCTTCCACAACTTCCCATGCCTAGAATGACACCGTAAAAGCTTACCCAAATCACACTCAAATCGCTCTTTAAACACAACTATCTGCACAGCAACTCCACAGCTGCAATTGAAACCGAACTTACCACACACTATTGCGTTGATACACACGGATTTTCGATCTAACAAACCTATTCAAAGCGCGGCTTAGCTACTAAAGTTCAAATCAAAACCAGGGGAATCTGATTTTGTTATTTTACCGGGATTTGGAGGCAGGAGATGGAGTAATGCAATGCAACCAAGTTAAGAAGGACAGACAGCCGACAGGTGCGGCTTGAAGAGGAACATTCGAACGTCTGCAAATGCAAACTCCAACGAGCTCAATTCCCCAATTGCCTCAACGTAATCCCCAACTTCCATTGATTCAGCCCCACAGCTTTGATTCACGAATCCGACCACCGCGCCAGCTCTCCTGGCCATCTCCCTGTGCTTCCCGGCGTAAACCTCCCTCCACCTCTAAAAAAAGAAAGGGTAAATACAATTTAATATCCAAACCTTTCATTTTAAATAATATAGCCAAACCTTTTCGAAAACAATCTAATATCCAAATCGTCAACTTTCCGTTCGTTTGACTGTTAATTGACACTTCAAAAAAACTTTGTTTAGGTGAAATTGTCACAATACAACTTTGTTTCTTGTTTTGGCATTGCAGATGATTGAATATTTAGATATTCTATACCATCATGGTGGAGTCATGGACTTCTCGGGTTTGAAACTACGATATGTTGGTGGTTTTTCAGAGAAGATATCGATGGATATTGATGAAGTGTCGTACTTCAAACTTTTTTGAAGTGTCAACTAACGGTCAAACAGACAGAAAGTTGACGATTGGATATTAGATTGTTTTCAAAAAGGTTTGGCTATTATATTGTTTAAAATAAAAGTTTTGGATATTAAATTGTATTTACCCAAAAAGAAATTCCGATCCCCAAAAATCAGAAACCCGGCCGGAGAAGACACCGTACGGGGAAACAAACAAGAAGAACCAATCATTCGGTTACCAAAGAAGAGGAATCTCGGGGGAAAGCGGCGCAGGGCCATCTCCGCAGACGAGCGATTCCCAGATGGAATCGGAGCTGCAAAGTTCCCTCCAGTAGCGAGCGCACCTGCTTAGAACGCAGACGTCCAGAACCTTCCGCCACCGGAAAAAAAAAAACAAAAAAGAATCCTCTCAAGATGGCGTCAAACTTACGGAGAACAAGAAAGAGAGGGATGGAGAAACAATTACCGGAAGGTAGGAAGCGATTTTGAGGCAGACATCGAACGGCAAGCCGTTCTCCAGGCTCGACGCCGATTCGTTCATCACCGGAGAACTGTTTTTCCGGCCGAGGGATTCATTTCAGGAGCTTTCACTGTGAAAGAACGGGGTGATGCAGTGATGCTTTTTTCTTTTTGTTTCCAAAAGCAGTAGTTGAGTTCAGGGGCGGATACATGCTGTTTTAGAGGTGTCTGGTACGCCCCAAAAATTTGGTAAAACGATTATTCAACTTTCGGTAGTAGTTTCGTATGAATAAAAATAATACAATTGATAATTCGAGACACTGCTAAAATTTGAAAGAAAAAAAATAAACGATTATCCTACTCTCAGTAATAGTTTACGTATGATTTAAATATAAGTAATAATCAGTATTATTCATACTTGGGACATTACTATCATTAAACATATTCTCTATTAGCTTGAAACTCATTTGTTGGTCAATTTTGAACACTATGTAATAGTAAAAATGCTATTCCTTATCCCCGACAATTTTCAAAATCTAACAATTAAACTAATTACGGGCTACTCTTAATTTGAATTGATTTTATGGTTGCACTGCAAGTGTTGAAAGAGTCTTTAATTTCAACTTTGAGTTACATCAAGAACAATGTTAGAAATCGGATATGCGATCAGTTCTTGAATTATTGTCTAGTACGATATACATATTTGTTGAGCAGTATAGACACTGAGTTGATTTTATATTCTTTTCCAAAATATGAAAAACACGTCGTGGCCTTTTACTAAAATTTGTACTAGTAAGATATTTTATGATTATGAATGATTTAATTTAATTTAATTTTTATTTTATTTTATTTTTTAGACGAGGACAACCCTATAAAAAATTTCTGGATCCGCCACTGGTTGTGTTGCGGATTCAGACGAGGTGTTGTCTGTCAGTTAGTTGTGTATAACGGCAGAGGCACCAACGTGGCGCGTTTTGAGAGAAACACGTCAACCGAAATGGTCACTTTTAGCTTCTTCGTGACATCCGCGGGTATCGGTGCCGGGTTTTCAGTTTATTTATTGTGCCGGCCCAGCCCATCAATTCGGGTCCGTATATATTATTCGGAGCCCATGAGCTTTTTTCTATTGCCGCCAAATGCTTCAAAGAATCCATGACCAAAAAATTAGAAAATGGTTATAAGTATAATATGTCACTATACTGTAACATTTTATCAAATATGCCTCTTTACTATTTTTTACATCAAACATACCCCTGTACTATGAAAAAATTATCAAACATGCCCTTCTATTAAAATTTTCATTGAAAAAATCGTCAACATATGGATAATTGGTTTGGTATGGTTAAAGTTTTTAGCTTGTTTGGTTTAGGTGGTTTGGTTTGGTTTCAGACACTCCTAACCAGTCAAACCAAATTAACCAGTTAAGTAATTAGTCATATACCTAACATATATTATATACACATAATACTTTGCATAACCACCCAAGAGTTAACGTTCATCCCTTTTAGACTCATAAAATATAAAGCTCAATATTGCTCATATAGTGTATATTTGTATATGTAAAGTCTAGACCACAACATATGGACGCCTAATTTAGATAAATTTCATACATTATGATGAATGAAAACTTGAAAGGAAGGTCATTTCCAGCCTATGATAATTGCTAAGAAACTAAGTCAATTTACACAAACACAACAATTCATTAACCCATACCATTGTCATAATTTTTTGTTATGTGAATACTTCTATACTAATCGTAAGATAATTGTCTTAATTGCATGTATTTTTGTTAAGGGTCAACTATAACTACTTGTTGATTGTTATGTTTTATTCATTATATAAATTGTGAATTGTTGCATTAACCGAAAATTTTTCATCGTCAATGATAATGTGATTTTATATTGGTTAATCTGGTTAACCAATTAACCAAACCGATTAAACTTTAGTTTGGTTAATTTGGTTGTTGTATTAGTTTGGACGGTTTGGTTATGATATTGTATTCAATGATTAATGGAATTTAGCCTTGTTTGATTTGGTTATAACCATGGTAACCATTTGAACACCCCTATACTTAGGCCCACACCCACAATCTATAAATGACATAAACTCCCCCCCCCCCCCCCCTCTCCCCGGACCAGGGCTGAAAACAATTTGTTGCCACGGCCAACCAGCCTAATATTATTATTAGCTTAACTAGGCATGTGGAGAAGAATGGTAAAAAACACAAAGCAAGCCTGAATGGATACTTGAGCAAAACGATCATTTCTAGGTAAATGAAGTTCAAATCCTAAGGACACATGTTCTCTTAGACCAAGACAAGCAAGTGAAGCCAATGCTCAAGATATGAAACAGTTTTTCTACCAAAAAAAAAAGATATGAAACAGTCCCTCATACAGCTAGAAGTAAAAAGGAGCAGCACCAGGCACAGAGAGTATTTAAACATCTCAACAATGAAAAATGATTGTTGAAGCTGGACAGGAAGATCCAATTATAAACTTCAACACAAACAGCAAAGCATATTGCAGTTTCTAAGGAAACGGAAGACAAGAGATGCATACAGATACAGAAACAAACATATCACAACTCACTTCATTGCGTAATACAACACTAACATGTTGGTGTTCTGCGGGGTCAATTGTGTTGGGGCACAGCGGAAATATGTAGTGGGTTTAGGATAAAAAATATCAGAGGAATTATTTCAATTCTAATATCTCATACAACTAGGCAATTGTTGTCCTTTACATTAGAGTTGCTGCTCTTGATTGTTCTACTTCTACTCTCACAAACACTGCTCACATTTTCCCATAACGGATTAGGCAAGTTTGTTGTCTTAACCCTTGAGAGGAGCCTATGCTCTCTAGCTCACTCTACCTTACATGCCTCAATGAGGCTTTGTATTTATAATGCCATCCCAAGGTTTCCACCACCATAAGGAAAGCTCTGGACACAATAATGAATTAAGTGGGCAGCTTTGACATGTGGTTGTGTTTAGGCCAAGCTAGCTGGCGTGTAGAGTAGGGTATTTCTAGTTTAATTATTAAAGGTAGTTGGGTAGTTGGCTGCTGCATTTAGAGTTTTGTAGAATTATTGAGATAATTGTAGAATTGTGGATTAGGTATTTTGACACCCCCTCTTAATCCGCAATTTATGGTTGTGAATTTTTACCATATTCGATGCCTGCGAGTGACACCTGATTAATTTCTCCACCTTGAGTGAATTTGCTTTTTCATCTTCTTGGTCTTCTTCCTGCATTTGAACTTGCAACATTTTGTTGTCTGTCCCATCTTGTGACATGTAATGCAGTATTAGATGTTACGGTCGGATTTTCCTCTACGGTCTTGAACCTGCTTGGTAGTTCATCCTCTGCTTCTGACATTTTGCCAAAGTCTTGCTTCGTCATGACCTCCTCATAAGCTTCTTGGAAGAAATCCCACAAGTCTTGAGCGATGAAGATTGTCTTCATTTCTTCACTCTGGTACTTGTAGAATTCACCTTCGAAGATTGGGATCTAACCGGGGATATTTACGAACATTGCGTTCGCTTGGACTGCTGCCATGATCTTTGGTTTTTATTTTTGTAGGATATATGAGGATGGTTTAGGAGAATAGGAAAGTAGTATCGGCTCTGATACCAAATTTGTTGGGGGTACAGCAGAAATATGTAGTGGGTTTAGGATCGAAAATATTAGAGGAAATTATTTCAATTATAATATCTCACGCAACTAGGCAATTGTTGCCTTTTACATTAGAGATGCTGCTCTTGATTGTTCTACTTCTACCATCACAAACACTGCCCACATTTTCCTATAACGGATTAGGCAAGTTTGTTGCCTTAACCCTTGAGAGGAGCCTATGCTCTCTAGCTCACTCTACCTTACATGCCTCAATGAGGCTTTGTATTTATAATGCCATCCCAAGGTCTCCACCGCCATAAGGAAAGCTCTGGACACAATAATGAATTAAGTGGGAAGCTTTGACATGTGGTTGTGTTTAGGCCAAGCTAGCTGGCAGGTAGAGTAGGGTATTTCTAGTTTAATTATTAAAAGTAGTTGGGTAGTTGGCAGCTGCATTTAGAGTTTTGTAGAATTATTGAGATAATTGTAGAATTGTGGATTAGGTATTTTGACAAATGGCAAGTAGTGTTTTGATCAAGGGGTGTACATGGGTTGGGTGGTTCGAGTTTGGTCATTTTAATCACCCGACCCATATACTACGATTTTGAAAATGTTAAATCCAACCCAACAAAAAAAAAAACTAAAACCCTATTGTTTGTTTATAGTTGGGTTGGATCGGGTTGGAGATACTTTTAATTAAATATCCAACCCAACACAAAAAGGCTATTATTATAACTAATTAAGATTTTAAATAAATCAATCGAGGCAAAATGTTTCAATATGCATAAATATTGTTTGGATTTTAATGTAATGCAATTACTTCAACATATGTCTAGTTTTTTCATAAATATTTGTCGAAGTAAGCTAAAATAGTTATAAGCTAACACATTCATAATATATGTTTTTCTTCTAAAATTGTATACTAAAAAAAAAAGATTACGTGAATCATAGTTTATATTAAATCTACGTCTAAATATTAAGTTGAAGAATGTATTGGACTAGAGAAACCACAAGAGAAAATATGATAAGATACCTTAATTTTCTCACAAATATGTTTATTTATAACACAAATATGTATTTTATACATACATTTATGACAATAGTTCAACACGGGTTGGGTCGGGTTCTACGAGTTGTGTTACCCAGAATCAGGACCCAACCCAATAGAGACAAATTGTACAAAAAGAAAACCCTCACCCAACCTTAAGCTTTAATTTTGACGATAAATACAGGTGGGTTGGGTCGAGCAGGACGGGTGGGCCGGTTTGCGGGTTGTTTTGTTCACCCATACGATCAATGACAGAGAAGATGGACGTAACACCCAGACATTTGGGTTCAGGTTCGACCATACTAAATGATTGGTTGGATTGACGGTTACGTACGAAGAGTTACAACTGTGGATTAATTAATAATAATATTATTATTATAGGGACCTCCTACGGTAACTTGGGTATAATTTCAAGTTAATAAACTTGTATAGATCTAAACTGTTAAAATCGATCAAACTTATTTTAAACCATTGATTAAAGAAATAAAAAATAAGAAAAAAAATTGGCAATAGGGGGTTGCCGATCACCACCCACTTAACTTACATTTCTTAGTTTTTTCTTTCCTTTTTCACATTTATTTGCTTTCCTTATTTTATCCTTTCCTTATTTGAATTAGAAGCGTTACGTAAGACTTCCGTAATAACTTAGCACTTTACGTAACGTGAGGTTAAAACTCATTACGTAAAGAGACCTCCCTTTACGTAAAGGTTACAGAATGATAGTTATTTTTTACGTAACAGTGAAATCGGAAGCGTTACGTAAAGCTTCCGTAATGACTTAGCTCTTTACGCAACACGACATTAGTACTCATTACGTAAAGAGACCTTCCATTATGTAAGGCTTCCGTAATGACATTTTACAACTGTTGCGTAAAATACACATTAATTACGTAAAGGTTACAAAATGATAGTTATTTCTTACGTAACAATTAAATCGGAAGCGTTACGTAAGGCTTTCGTAATGACTTAACACTTTACGTAACGTGAGGTTCATACTCATTACGTAAAAAGACCTTCCATTACGTAAATATTACGAAAGGACAGCTATTTCTTACGTAACAGTTAAATCAGTAGCGTTACGTAAGGTTTCCGTAATGACTTAACATTTTACGTAACGCGAGGTTAATACTCATTACGTAAAGACACATTCTATTACGTAAGGCTTCCGTAATGATCTTTTACAAGTGTTACGTAAGATTACCATATGTTACGTAACCATTACGTAATGCCTATTGTATCTTACGTAATGCGGCCTGTGAAACCTGCTATCGCAGGTAAAAAAATTCAAGTTACTTACTTCAAGTTATTGTAGGAAATCCCTATTATTATATTATTACTATTAGTGAAAAGGGGAAAAAATTGGATGATTAAAGGACCGAGCGGCCCTCATCATCAAAAGAAAAAAAAAAACCCTTCCTCACCATGAAATACCTCATCTCTCCCCACGCAAATCACCCCCAGCCCTTGATTATTTTTCCCCAGGATGGGCAGATCTGGTAGAAGAGGCCAAAAAATATGAAGAAGATAAAAGGAAATAAAAAAATGGTATGTCATTTATGACAAACCATTTCGAGGGGTTTATACCAGTTGCGCAATAACATCCCAACGTATTATCGGGCATAATGTCAAGCATTAGTCATTCACAACTAATGAGGAAGCAGAACAAGCACCCAAAGAATCAAACAAAACTCTTGCCATGAGGCAAAAAGTAGAACTGGTCACTCCACAACAACATTTGACGATGAGAATTCCTGGTATCTATATAAAAATATCTAGACCACAAAGAAAAGGTAAGAAGCTAAAAAACCCTCTCTTCAGAAATTCCATAAATGTTGAAATTATCTTCTCAAACTATAGAGAAATCCATATTACCATGGGTTTTACCCTACATTCAAAGGTGGACCAAAGGCAGTAGTGACAGAATAAGCTTCACTAGCAACACTATTTTGCTCTTCATCGATATGGATTATTGGACACAATCTACACCAAAAAGATTAACATCTTCGACGAATTTCCTATTAAATTCAAGATGACTGTGAAAAAATATTTTGAATTCTTTGCCAAATGAAGAGAGATTTATCTAAGGTATACATCCAGTAACCCAATATTCAGCCAAGAAGAAATGACTATACCATCAAAGGCCCTCATAAAAACGGGAGTCTCAAATGGAAATTATCCAACGATGGATGATCTCATGAAGACAATCAAAATACCAGTGGACTATCAAGTGAACTCATTATTTTCGGTATGTCAAGCATTTACTACATCAACCCAACGGGCAACCTCAAGGTCAATTATGGAAGCAACCACAAAGTCATCATTAGTAATTCCAAGACACTGTTCACTACAGAAGAATGGAGTCTAATTACAAATCTAACTAAAGACTTCATTAATATAGAAGGAACGTTGGCTCCACTAGCAACAAAGAAAAAGCAACAACTATATGAATTATTGCAACTACACAAAGATCATATCTACATCCATTGTACAACACACATGACCACCACCACTAGCAACAACAATGAAAAAGAATAAAAACAGAAAGTAAGAAGACAAGAATGACTCATTTTCAGACAAAATAAAAAGGAAGAAAGCTCCATCACACTAGCTTTGTTCTTTCTTTTTCTTCTAAACCTTCTTTGCAATAATGTGGCTTCGTAAACCTTGTTTGTTTGTTCTCGCTTCTTGGATAGTTATGTAAGCCCTTACCTATAAACAGGCTAAGAACCTGCTATAAATATGTAAATTAAGGAACGAACTAATTTTATCACCAATTTATTTTTATCTAAAATCTTTGATAAAAAAATATAATTAAATATGGAAAGATGATAGGAGAGACAACAGTACCTATAGAACAAACCAAATGAGATTTTCTAATTCAAATAATAAACAAAGAATAAATTGGGGGGACAAGTATCAAAATTAAAACCAAAAGAAAGGAGTAAAATAGTTTATATTCATATTAGTACGATACCAATTATCTTAAAATCAACAATGAAAATAGAAATACGTGCTCCCGTAGAGCTAGAAATAATAGATGACAGACTCGTTAATGATGAAGAAAGTTTCACAGCAAAAGGACAAGGAAATCTAGGAGTAGGGATAATTAAACTTGATATTAATTTACATCAAGGATTAAGTTTAACTGATGGAAATCTTGATTCTTCCATCATCATAAAATATGAATTGAAAAGAGAAAATTTTATGAAGAAAATAGCAAACTATTTTCAGTAATATACCAGATAAATTACACCTTAACCAATAGTCATCATAGTTTAACATTCAAAGACAAGTAAGCTATTACAATAGAGGATTTATTTAAACATTGAATACATTTAGAATCCCCTCTAAAAATAATTAAATCAAATTATAATAATCCAAGAATTAGCTTAGATGGACGAAACCCCTCTAAAAGAATAACAAGTTAGAAGAAGAGGAACGAGGAGAAAAATAAGAAATATAAATTATCACAATACTTCATCAAAATTGCAAAAATGTCGAAATAAAAAAGATAAAAGAATTAATTCTGGAAATAAAAGAGAAGATATAAATACATCATTCTAAGAAATGCCTAGTACTTATCACATAAACTAGCTAATAGAAGAAATAGACACTATACGTCTTACTTCAATAAATGACATCACTATAGTTAAATTAGAACTATCATACTTTATTTCAGAAATGATAAAAGTACAAATGAGTATTGGAACCACATAGAACAAATGAGTATTGGAACCGCAGAGATATTAGAAGAAGTTGTTTCCAAAATCGAATTAATTACTGATATAATTACTAGTCTAGATAAAATAAAACAAAAACTAATAAATAATTAAAATTCAGTTTTTAATAGTAACATAATAATAATAATAATAATGTCAAATCTAAATTTTGAAAAGAAATTAATAAAAATAAAATATCTTATTAGAAAATAACTGGTTGTCTTGATTAATATAAACAAAAAATATAGTATTAATCAATCTCCTTTTATAACAAACAAATAAAAAAGTTAAAAAAAGAAGTCACGTGAATTTTTTGGTATCAAAGCCAAGTAGCCAACCAACACAAACAAGCTAACCAACTCAGGTGTAAAGATAAAAAAAATTAAGAATTAAAATAATTATAAAGTAGGAAATTAAAAATTACCAAAGAGTCCAACCCAATCGGATTCAACCGGTTCACTTTGACACCTCTAATTATCATTCAATCAACCTTGAAATTACTTATGATGTCACAGTTAATTGGGTTCGTATAATTTAAGGTATTCCCAGATTGGACGAGTAATGAATAAGATGGATAAAGAATACGTTTGTCGACTTACCTTGTTAAATGACTAACGACTGTAGATGGTGGGTTGATGATCTTGGATTTAGGTCTATTCTACGACGAGAAATTCGACTCGAACTTATGAATCAACACTACTTGTTAGGAGTGATGGTCCGATTTCGAGTTTTTCGATTTTAACCAAAATCGGGAAAATCCCTCGTGATTCGGGAATGAAGATGCAGATGATGTCTCCAGGCCCACCAATATGCAGGCCGAAGAATATCCATGTCTGCACCACGAGTCCGCTCATAATTTAGGCCCATAAGAGTTCGATCAGATTCCAGCCCAACAATTCCTCGCCCACACCCTCCACGTGGGTTTCGTCCCCAGAATTATCAGTCGGAAAAGCGAACTCTAGAACCAGCCCGAAAAGATACGGCCGGGAAGAAGATATGCCACCGTCACCATACCGTTTGCCGTCCCGTTTGCTCACCGCCTCCTCTTCTTCCTTCTTCCGCCATTCGACGCCTACATCCGTTCCTCGCTCCACCGCCACCGCCGCCGTCATGTCCTTCTCTTCTTCTCCCCACTCGACTCCGCCGCCGCCGGCGACGGTAATACCGGAGGCGGACCCGGGAAAGCTCAGCCAAGTCCTGACTTACCACAACCAGACGAAGCACGCGATGCATAAGTACGCCAGAGGGCCTCACGGCCTCGACTGGGCTAACCAACCCAACCCATTTCGCCGGTACCCTTCCGCCCCGCTTCTTCCTCTCGGCGGCGAGGATTCTTCTTCTTCTCCTCTGTATCAGTCCATCTTCGAATCACTCCCTTCCCCGCCCCGATCCCTCTCCAAATCCTCCATCTCCCAGCTCTTCTACCATTCCCTCGCCCTCTCCGCCTGGAAAACCATCGGGTCATCGACCTGGTCCCTCCGGGTCAACCCGAGCAGCGGCAATTTGCACCCGACGGAGGCCTACCTCATCGCCCCGCCGATCGAAACCCTATCAGATTCTGCTTTCGTTGCGCACTATGCTCCTAAAGAACATTCTCTGGAGGTCAGAGCTTCCATCCCGTCCGATTTCTTCCCAAGGAATTTGCTCCCCGAGGGTTCGTTTATGGTCGGGATCTCTTCGATTTTCTGGCGAGAGGCTTGGAAGTACGGGGAGCGGGCGTTCCGCTACTGCAACCACGACGTTGGTCATGCGATCGCCGCGATCTCAATTGCCGCCGCTGAGCTCGGGTGGGACGTGAAATTGCTGGATGAATTAGGGTTTGAGGAGCTGGAGAGGCTCATGGGGCTTCACCCTTATCAGGACTTCCCAATTCCTGATAAACCGATGAAAGGCAGGATTCCGGATATCGAGTTCGAGCATCCGGATTGCGTGCTTCTCGTCTTTCCCGGTGAGCTCTGTGACTCGAATGTGAACTATCAAGAACTGTGCGCTGCAGCTATGAGATTTGACAGCTTGGATTGGAAGGGAACCCCGAATTCGCTGAGTAAGGAGCATGTGTGTTGGGATGTCATTTACAGAACGGCAGAGGCTGTTAAGAAGCAGTCATCACTTGAAGAAGCTGGATTCTCCAATATTGAACCATTTCAAGGGAGTGGAGTTTTCAGTGCAAGTTCCTACAAGGGGTTTACAGTGAAGGAAATTGTTAGGAAGAGGAGGAGCGCAGTTGACATGGATGGGGTTACTGAGATAGATAAGAACACTTTTTACCAGATCATGTTGCACTGTCTTCCTTCTGGCTCAGGAAGCGGAGGGAAGCAGCAGCGACGACAGAAGAAGCAATCGGCATTGCCATTTCGTGCTCTCTCGTCGTGGGATGCCGAGGTGCACGCAGCCTTGTTCGTTCATCGGGTGGATGGGTTGCCTAAGGGACTGTATTTCCTGGTGAGGAATGAGGATCATTTGGACGAGCTGAAGAAAGCCACTAGACCCGACTTCAAGTGGGAGAAACCAGAGGGATGTCCTGATGATTTGCCCTTGTACGAACTTGGTAGAGGAGATTGCCAGCAGATTTCCAAAGCACTTTCATGCCACCAGGTGTGCTGTCAAGTGAATCTGGGGGATTAGTGTTGAATGCGTAGGAGCGAAACTGGTATTTTGAATGTCACAGTTTAATTTTTGGATGCAGGATATTGCCAGTGATGGCTGCTTTAGCCTTGGAATGGTGGCGCGTTTCGAGCCTGCATTGCGAGGCAAGGGTGCATGGATGTACCCTCGATTGTTCTGGGAAACTGGAGTGTTAGGACAGGTCCTGTACCTGGAAGCACATGCAGTTGGCGTCTCTGCTACTGGAATTGGCTGCTTCTTCGATGATCCTGGTAAAGCATATAATGCTTTCCTTCTTTCGCCTCGAATTTTTGGTATCTGCCACCACTGACTGACACTCTTTTGCTGTTGATGCTGTTCTTTGTTCTTGTTTGTTTGGCAGTCCATGAGCTACTCGGATTAAGAGGGTCGAGATTCCAGAGTCTGTATCATTTCACTGTTGGAGGTCCTGTTTTGGACAAGCGAATTATGAGTCTTCCAGCTTATCCTGGACCTGATATGGATTCATGACAAATGAAATCATTCATTCGATCACAGTTTATCGGCATTAATTTGGAAGTATGTTATTATTTTTCTACCCAAAAAAAAAAAAAAGTATTGTATTAGGTTATGCAGAAGACTTCTTAGTTTGAGTGTAGAATGAATCTGTATACCCCTGGTCTTCAGAGTTAAACCCCTGTAATGATAGAATATATATGCCTATGTTAGCCATTTCAGTAGTCCTATAGACACATAAAGAAAGCTTAAAAGAATGCACAGGAAAAGCTACTTCTCCTTCTGGTCCAATTAAAAGGAGAACCTGTTCTCTTCTGTCCTAAGCATATATTTACATGTCTTCCAACTTTGAGCTCTATCAATGAAGGTGCAACAGTTTCTGAAAAGCTGCACCAAAATCAAATTCACAATCATTCATGGCTCATCTTAGAGAAGCTTTCTCCTGATTCAGAATGGATAGCTGCCGGATCGAACAACACAGTTGTCTTGACCAAGGTCTTACGACGTCTAGGGCCAAATTCGATCCAATTTTCAGAAGACTATCTCCAAGAGTCTTGGCTCGATACAAGATGAGATTCCCAAAAGATCTGTTCAGTGAGGAGGTTATATCCTCCCTCCTTTGGGATCATCCCACCACAATTTCAAATTCAAGTGATGCCCGAGGAAACCAAAATCTTGTGCTAACCCTTTGAATAGTATCACAAAAAGAAGAGGAATATATCGGATGGAACTGGGAAAAGGCTATCGATATCGAAGCTTATCAGATCGCCAACTTCGTATTTAAACGAATCCAAGAAGAGTCCAAGAGAGAGACCAAACTTCCAATAGCTGAACATTGTGATCAAGCTCTTGATGTTGTGTAACAGTTTGGATGTTTGGGGGTCGTTTTGTAATAATGTAGGGAAAGAGGGATGGATTTGTAAGTAAGAGATAGCACCTGTTAGGAGAAGGTACTTAAGGTACTTTGTAAGGATTATCGATTACAGAAATAAGAAATCACTTTTCCCTTCCCATTCTCCTCTCTGTTCTTCTTCCTCTCTCTCCCTTCTCTCTGCAATTCTTCTCATTTCTTCTCCAATTCTTGCTGAGCTGATCCAGAGTGTTACAACGTGGTATCAGAGCCTTTTCTCAGCACCATGGCGACGACTACTTCTCGCCTGGCTCAGATTGACGAGCGCTTGATGGATTTTGATCAACGTTCCGCCGCTGTTGATGGTCGCCTCACACTCATCGAGGATCAGATTTCGGAAATCGGTGCTCGTACAGAAGTTCTTCGCACGCAAGGAGAAGCACATGATCTCCGATTTCAATCGCTGACGACGAGCGCGGACGGCCATTCGCAGCAGCTAGCCATGATTGTCACGCAAAATCGTAATGTCGAGACTCGATTGGATGGCTTCGAGACGCAGTTCGGGGATCAGTTTGGGGCATTGAACGGCCAGATTACGCAATTGACTGGTCAAATGGCGGCGATGATGAATCTCTTGCAGAATGCGCCGCAGCCGGTGCCGTTACCGCCGATTTTAGGAGTTCCTCCGGCGCCACCTGCTCGCAACAATAATCCTGGTATCCTGCCTTTACCTAGGGTTGGCATGCTGGAGGATGTCAATCCTCCTGCTCGGGGCCGCGTTCAGGAGCATCGTGATGTTGAACGTGAGGATGGCCCTCCGCCTCGAGGTAATCACTATTCGCTTCCTCGTCTGGAGTTTCCATTCTTTAGTGGCGAGAACCCTAGGGATTGGATTCGTCGTTGCGAGAAGCTGTTTAGGGTGTATGGTGTGCCTGAAGGGGAAAAGGTGGAGCTAGCTTCCGTTTTCTTGGAACGGAAGGCGGATGTGTGGTTCAAAGGATGGTCTGTGGAACATGAAGACTGGTTATGGGGGGAGTTTGTGGCTGAATTGGTTCGTCGTTTTGAGGATGTGTCAATGGGGGGTGTAGTCGGTGAGTTTAATAAGCTCAGACAGCGAGGATCCCTTTTGGACTACCAGGAGAAGTTTGATGATCTCCGTTCACAGATGATTGCATATAATCCTGCCTTCACGGAGGATTACTTTATATCCAGCTTCATCAGTGGATTAGAGGATGAATTGAGGCCAGTGGTTACTATGTTGCGGCCTCAATCTCTCTCTCAGGCCTACCTGATGGCCAAATTGGAGGAAGCCTCCAATGAGGCTCGACGACGGAAATGGCGTTCCTTGTCTCGGCCATTTCCAACTCCTCAGAGCAGTAATAAGTCGGTTGCATCACCTTCCAGTCGTCCTGCTAAAGCCTCTCCATCCGGTGCGACCTCTAAAGGAAGCATGGGTACTAGGGGTGCCTGTTACAAGTGTGGGGAGCGGTATTTTTATGGTCATGTCTGTGACACAGCTAAGAAGCATCTCAATGCTTTGCAGGCCACGGATGAAGAGCTGGTAATTCCTGAATCCAGCAGTGATGAGGATGATGGGGTCGATGCTGGTTTGGTGGAGGAGGAGCCGGAGGAAGTTGCTATGCAAGCCTTAAGTAGTGGTAAAATGACCAGTTCGTTGGTGGTACAAGGGCGGGCCAGGAAGTGTCGATTGTTGATTTTGGTGGACACTGGAAGCACTCACACATTTCTTAATCAGGCTAAGGTTGCAGAGTTGCAGTGTTTGGTTGAGGCTGCTCCTCCCTTGCGAGTGAAGTTGGCGGATGGCACTGTATTAATGAGTCATTCAGTATGCAAGGGGTTTCAGTGGGAGATGCAGGGGCACAAATTTTCTTTTGATGCTCGGGTACTGAATTTAGGTACTCATGATATGGTCTTGGGATTGGACTGGTTGCGGACAATTAGTCCAGTCAAGTTCGATTTTGTGCAGCTGCAGTTGTTCTTCCAAAAGAATGGTCAGGAAGTGGTATTGACTGGGGAGCAAGAAGTGGGAACTTATAAACTTCTTTCGGGTAAGGAGATGAAGAAACTATGGAAGCATATGGGGCAGGAGTGGACAGCATACCTTTGCAGCATGGTTGAGGTCAAGGCACCAGGTGAGATTCCTTCGTTTCTTCTTCCTGTGGTTGACGAGTACTCAGATGTGTTTGGTAAACCCAAATCCTTACCTCCTTCTAGAGCATGTGACCATTCCATACCACTGCAGCCTAATTCCCAGCCTGTTAACCTTCGTCCTTATCGTTACCCTCTACCTCAGAAAGATGTTGTTGAGAAAATGACCAATGAGATGATGGCAGCTCAACTCATACAGCCCAGTAAAAGTCCCTTTGCCTCCCCTGTGTTGTTAGTAGCCAAGAAAGATGGTACCTCTCGTTTTTGTGTAGATTATAGGCAACTTAACTCCATAACCATCAAAGACAAGTTCCCTATTCCTGTCATTGAGGATTTTCTCGATGAATTGAGGGGTTCGAAGTATTTTACCAAGTTAGATCTTCTGTCGGGGTACCATCAAATTAGGATGAACCATGCTGACCAATACAAGACAGCCTTTAGAACTCATAATGGCCATTTTGAATTCCTTTTTATGCCCTTTGGCTTAACCAATGCCCCTGCCACTTTCCAGGCCCTTATGAACTCTATATTCTCTGCTCATCTTAGGAAGTTCATCTTAGTCTTCTTTGATGACATCCTTGTGTACAGCCCTGATGAAACTAGCCATATAACTCACCTTAGGACTACCCTTTCTATCCTTCGCCAACATAACCTCTATGCCAAACCCTCCAAATGTTCCTTTGGCCAAACACAGGTTGAGTACTTGGGTCACATAATCACTAGCGAGGGAGTCTCAACTAATCCTGCCAAGATCTCAGCTATGGTGTCATGGCCTCGTCCTAAAAATGTAAAGGAGCTGAGGGGATTCTTGGGTCTTACGGGGTACTATAGGAAGTTTGTGAAGGATTATGGGGCTATTAGCAGACCACTTACTGATCTTTTGAAGAAAGAAGGATTTGTTTGGAACTCTGGGGCTGAAGCTGCTTTTGAAAAACTTAAGGCTGCCATGACTCATGTACCTGTGCTGGCTTTGCCAGACTTCACCAAGCCATTCACCTTGGAAACGGATGCCAGTGACACTGGAATTGGTGCTGTGCTTACACAGGAGGGAAGACCCATTGCTTACCTGAGTCAGGCCCTCGGAATTAGGCAGCAAGGCATGTCAGCTTACGAAAAGGAGTACCTGGCAGTATTGATGGCAGTCACCAAGTGGCGACATTACTTAGAAGGGAGGCGATTCACGATCCTGAATGACCACGAGAGTCTGAAGCATTTATTGGGTCAGAAAATACACACTCAGATTCAGAAGAAGGGTCTGGTTAAGTTACTTGGGTTAGACTATGAGATTAGATATCGTCAGGGTCGTTACAACAAAGTGGCAGATGCCCTTTCAAGACATCCTGATCTGTTCAGTAGCAGTTGTCATGCTGTGACAGCAGTCTTACCTGCTTGGTTGGGGGAAGTGGAAGCATCCTACAAAGATGATGAATGGTTAAAAGAGGCTATGGTGGAGGCAGCAGTTCCTACAGTGGGGCCTAAGGTAAACACGGTTAGACAGGGTGTGTTGCACCATAAGTCTGCCATTTATGTAGGGAAGGCTGGCAGTATGAGAGAACAGGTACTGCAATTGTTTCATGAGTCTCCCATAGGAGGCCATTCAGGAACGCAGGCCACGTATCAGAGGCTGAAGACTTACTTTTGGTGGCCTGGTCTGAAGCGGGATGTTAGACAATTCATTGCTGATTGTGATGTTTGCCAAAAGTGCAAGAGTGAGAATGTACCTTACCCTGGAATTTTACAGCCCTTGCCCATACCAGAGGGAGCTTGGAAGCATATTTCTATGGACTTTATTGAGGGGTTGCCAAAATCTGGGGGAAAGGAAGTGATTCTAGTGGTGGTCGATCGGTTCACCAAGTATGGACACTTCTTTGGGCTTAGCAGACCATATACAGCTGCTTCAGTGGCTCAGGTGTTCTTGGAGGGGGTGTTTAAGCTTCATGGTATGCCCCAGTCCATTGTCTCGGACAGAGATGTGATCTTTACCAGCAATTTCTGGACCAATTTATTTGCATTGCAGGGTACTCAGTTACACTACTCCACAGCTTATCACCCTCAGACGGATGGACAAACTGAGAGATTGAATCGCTGTTTGGAGGATTACCTTCGATGTATGGCCCTAACTGGTTCTGCTACTTGGGTTTCCTGGTTACCTTTAGCAGAATGGTGGTACAATACCAACTATCACCATAGTCTGCAGATCACTCCTTTCCAGGCCTTATATGGTTACTCTCCTTCTCACTTTGGCATTCAGAATCCACTCTCCACGTCGGTCGCAGCCGTGGCGGATAAGCTTAGGGAGCATCAGAGGTTGGTTGGACTTCTCAGACACAATTTGGCCAAGGCTCAAAATCGTCAAAAGCAAATGGCAGACAAGCACAGGACTGAGCGAGTGTTTCAGAAGGGAGATTGGGTGTATTTGAAGTTGAGACCATATAGACAGACCTCGGTACAGCAGCGGGCTAATCAGAAGTTGGCACCAAAGTTTTATGGACCATTTCTGGTGTTTCAGAAGATTGGAGTTGTTGCATACAAGTTGCAGCTGCCTGAGGGTGCTGCAATTCATAATGTCTTTCATGTGTCACAGTTGAAGAAGGCCAGAGGAGCTCAGGTGCTTGTGCAACCAACATTGCCTGAAGTGGATGATGCTGGAACACTGAAGTTGGAACCCACTGCTGTGCTTGCAAGGAGGGTTGTGGAGCGTGATAATAGGACTGCTACTCAGCTCTTGATTCAGTGGTCACATCAGCAAGAAGAGGATGCTACCTGGGAATTCTTAGATGAACTGAAGCTGAAATTTCTAGATTTTGCGACTTGAGGACAAGTCTTAGCTGAAGGGGTAGGACTTGTAACAGTTTGGATGTTTGGGGGTCGTTTTGTAATAATGTAGGGAAAGGGGGATGGATTTGTAAGTAAGAGATAGCAGCTGTTAGGAGAAGGTACTTAAGGTACTTTGTAAGGATTGTCAATTACAGAAATAAGAAATCACTTTTCCCTTCCCATTCTCCTCTCTGTTCTTCTTCCTCTCTCTCCCTTCTCTCTGCAATTCTTCTCATTTCTTCTCCAATTCTTGCTGAGCTGATCCAGAGTGTTACATGTTGCTGAGCAGGCGCAAAGAACCCTTGTACATGAGTGCTCCAATGGCTTCCACAATCCCCACAGCCAGACCAGCAGATAGAATGTCCCAGTCACCGGTCTGGCCGATCACAGTAGCCAAAGCAGTGGCACAGTAGAAACCAACCAAGAAAAACAGCAATTTCATAGGTAGATTCTTCCTCAGCTCCTGGATTCTCAGCCCAATCCGCGTCTGCAGAGCACGAATTGCCCTAATTAACCGTGTTCCACCACTACTGCCATCCGAAGGAGAATCGAATCTACTGTCATTGATGCTGCTCCTAATCTGCCATACCCTGCACCGGTCACACACTAAACGATAAGCGTTTATCACAGTTTCGGCAAAACCCTAATCTCATCTAATGGCGACCGTATTCAACTAATTGGAACGAAGCAGTAAACCTAGGTTCAGAAATGAATGCTTCAGCTTGAGTTCACTCACTCGAAACTGCTGATCAAATACGGCTCAGTAACTCGACAGGTTGAAAATTGGAGAGGAAGAATCGTAATCCTGTAATCCCTACCGAGAGCTCCGCTGGAGGAGAAGGAGAGCTGCGTAATTGCACTTCCCAATTTCAGGCGCTGTACAGAATGAAGTTTAGCAACATTTCGCGGCAGGTTCGACAACGGCGATGGAGCCGTTGCTGCCATACGCTTCCTCCGATGTTCGGCCGGTGAAGCCCCCTGCAAAAACACAACGCTTTGAATTCGATGTTTCGATAAATGCTCGCCGGCGAAAGAAGCCGGTGCCAGAAGATTAGCGCAACGATACATTTCTATTCGAACAGAACAACCACCACCACCGAGCAATTGCTCTACAGTATACTACGCCTAATTGGTTTTCGAGAAGACATTACGAGAGAAGGAGGGAAATTATGGATACTAAAGCTTACAGTTGAGAGAGATAAGAGAGTATCCTCCACAAATGGCGTCTACCGGCTGAATTTCTTTTTCCAGCTGCTTTCTGGTTTCCGGTGCTGAAAGCAGAGTGATAAAATTTTGCTTCCGGCCGCAGGAGGAAGTAGAAGAGTGGCGTTGGTTGGCCGTTCAATTACAGTTTAATTACAGTGTGTGTGGGTTGTAGGGGTGTAGGCTTAGGAAAGAGTGGGCCTTGGCCCGTGGGTAATGAAGAGAAGAGTAATGGGCTGGGCCAAGTGTATTGTGGATTCAATTTGGAATTGTGTAATGTCTATTTTTTATCTAAATTTTTTTCAGATTTTTTTTTATATTATCCAAGCCTATCGAAATACTAAAGCCTTATTCATTTTCATTTTCGTTTCCAGTTTTTTTTTTCATGTCATAAATTTGGCAAACGAAACGAGAAAACTTGTTTACTTTTCATTCTGTTTTCTATTTGTTTCCAACTCTGAAAACAGAAAGTGGCAATTTCCTGCTGTTTTCGAAAACGAAAAAATGTCGTTTTCACCTGTTTTCAACATCTGTTTTCTAAAAAACAGGAAACAGAAATGAAAGTAAACAGGGAATTAGCAAAATTTTAACTTCCAGTTAGCAATTTTGTTTGTGACATTGACTTAGTAACATGATACTGACTTGGAAGAGACTCATGAAGATCAACATTCAAAAAATTTAGTATTTTAACTAAGAAAAGAGTTACAAAATTATTAACGATATCGTAAAAATGGCTAATATTTTGAAGTATTATGAAAATTTTGGATATCTAATAGAATTTTAATAGGTTTGGATAATATAATAGAATCTGAAAAGTGTTTGGATAAAAATTAGACATTACCCTTTCATCCAACCGGTTTGGTTCATTCATAACCGAATTTTGACCGGGGTTGTCTAGTGACATAATTTCGATCATACACAGTGAATTCTGGGGGGTGGGGGGGGTTCATGTGGTTTGGTTCGATTCGAGTTTACCGGACCGTATGTCCAATAAGAGGTTGGACGACAACTTCGGAATGCATTCTTTAGAGATTCCAGAACTGCAAACTCGACCGATTATGAATTTGATTAATAATAATAATAATAAATAACGTGCTCTTTGCACGTTAAATAATCTGTTACAAAGTTTCGCTCTCTGGTAGCTTGAAGAAGGTATGCACTATCTAGTCTTGTTGAAGGAAACCGTGAAATTTTGATGGCAGACTAGCATGTTGATGAGGAGGCTCACCGAATCATGTCATGACCCATTAATTAGGTAAGTTACGCAATTGATTCGTGAAGTGATCTTCTCATCATCATTATTGCAGCTGCTCGATCGAATTACACCATCATTATTCCTAATTAATATTAAAAAAAAAATTATACATAGTTTGCCTCTCCAAAAATCCGTTAGTTACTCTACAACTTGGTATGCCAGCTCGATCAAGCAACTGCCAGAAAACAACTCCCTTGAAATGGAATCTCTCCAAACCCCAATGCCATGTGGGCTAAGATCAGGTGACTAAGGGGGTCCCTTAGTCATATGACTAAGTCAATCTCAACCATTGAGTCTCATTAAAATCTAAGGGTTGTAATTGATCTCATTTAATGAAGGGTAATCTAGTAATTACAAATTGATTTAATTTAATTATTAAAAAATTAAAAAACTCGCCTGCTTGCTTACGGGTTTTTTTTCCTGTTCCGGCGACAGACAACCTCCGAAGGCTGCTGCGTTTCCGGCGGACTTTCCATCCCGACACTCGTCGTCGATCTGTCATCCGCCGCCTCCTGACTGCCGCCGGCCAGCAATATAATGGCCCTGGCCTGCATCTCCGTCACGTCGCAGACGCTGTCCCTCCGCCCTCCCACCGCCGGCCCTTTACTTGGGAATTCGCCGGCGCCATTTTTTCCAGGGAGGGTCGCAATTTTTGGGTATGTCGGTGTTTTGTATGGGAAAGGGAATTTTCCCAGGGGAATTATCCCACGTAACAGAGAGAGAGAGAGAGAGAGAGAGAGAGAGAGAGAGAGAGAGAGAGAGAGAGAGAGAGAGATTTTGTACTGTTAGTATGGTTTGTATTGTTTGTCGATTTATTTTGTAATGTTTGTACGCTTTGTTATTTTGTAATGTTTGTCGATTTATTTTGTAATGTTTGTACGCTTTGTTATTTTGTAATGTTTGTCGGTTTTTTTTGTAATGTTTGTAAACTTTGTTATTTTTGTGTACCGTGTTTATCATTTTTGTCAACCATGTTCGTACTGTTTGTATGTCTAAAAAACACCCGGGTTGACTTTGGGAATGAGCCCCTCTATATAGGGATGGAGCCTCCAAAGTCAACCCGGGAGTTTTTTCCCGTTCGTATGGATTGTCGGTCTAGTTTGTCATTTTTTTCCACCATGTTCGTACTGTTTGTATGTCTAAAAAAACACTCGGGTTGACTTTGGGAAGGAGCCCCTCTATATAGGGATGGAGCCTCAAAAGTCAACCCGGTTGTTTTTTCTTTTTGTATGGTTTGTATTGTTTGTCGGTCTAGTTTGTATTGTTTGTACAGTTCATACGTTTGTAATGTTTGTAAATCTGTTTGTATGTTTTGTCGCTCTAGTTTGTACTGTTCGTATGTTTGTATGGTTTGTACTGATTGTAAATCTGGTTTGTATACTTCATAATTTTTCATAATACCCAAACTACCCCTGTCATTAATTAAATAGCCCTTCCCACTTTTTAACCATTGGATTGAAGTGTCCAAATCTAAGGGCTGGGAGGGGCTTAGTCAAGTGACTAAGCACCCCCCTTAGTCACTGGATCCGCTCTCATGCCATGTTCAATTGGGTAAACCAAAAGTTAAATGAGAAAGGGAAGGGAGAAGAAGACAAACAGCTCGTCGATCAGCTCGATGAGATCCCGTCGTATACGGCGGCACCATCCAGTTGAAGTTTGACCCAATTACCAACATGGGAATTCCTTCACACGTGTACATAATACTGCATGATCTTACAAATATAGCTGGCCTGACGTGGCACCATCCTGAAAAACCGCTTCAATATAATGTTGGAATAAAGATAATATTAATCTAAAACCCTTGCTGTTTAATTAATTGATTACTGAAAATTAGAAAGAACCACCAATATGCATGCTTGCTTTCCGATGGTCAATTAAGCCAACTTATCTTATACGTGCTGTTTCCTGATAAGATATTTTCTGGGACGGGTTAGCATGCTAACCCCTTAAGGGGTTGGTTTTTTGACACTCCCTTTTAATTGGTCAATTTTCCATTAATTATTGACAAGTATTAATGAAAGTAAACATAATAAATGTTTTGTTATTAAATACAAAGTAAGTATTAAATACACCACATTAATTACCACTTTACTGGTATTTGTACCACTGCACTGATACTCAGATATGACATTGCTACCAGTGCACTGATATCGCTACCAGTGCAGTGGTATATCTACCAGTACAGTGGTACAACGTATCAGTGCAGTGGTATATCTACCAGTACATTGGTACACCGTATCAGTGCAGTGGTATATTTTTTGGAGGTAGTCGGAGGGAGTCTGCCGATGAGATTTTCACCGGAGAAGTGTGGTGGTCGGAGGAAGTCTGGTGGTCGGAGACTGCTGAAAAAGGAAAAATCAAATATAGTGAGAGAATTCCTAATGTGTATTTAATGTGTGTATTTAATTCCTAATGTGTATTTAATAGTGAGAGAATTCCTAATTAATATGGTACATTTAATTCCTAATATGTATTTAATGTGTGTATTAATTATTATGTATTAATTATAGTTATATTTAATATACTAGGGGGTGTCATTTTTCCAACCCTAGTGGGGTTAGCATGCTAACCGACCCCATATTTTCTCAATCAATCTCTACGACCAATCTCGAGATTTTTTTTTTGTTAGAAAAATTTCAACTACCTGACAATTCGTATTTTATTGTTTCCCATCCAACCAATTGCGCCAAATAAAATAATATATACACGAAATAATATATGAATTGTTAGATTAGACCAAAACAAAAGAGATAAAAGCTTTGAGAAAAGAGACGGCTTGTCGTTGTCGGCATCGCAGATTGCCCACAACTTGCTACCCACCGGCACCGTATGATCGCATTGACCAAACAAACGTGGCCATACTAATCCACAAATTTTCACACCATACTAGACAAGAGATATCTTTCCTTCTTTGGTCTTTCCTTGGTTCAATTTCGACGACGTTACACTTTAGTTTAGTGGATAAATTAATTAAGATGATGCGTAATCAAAGTGCGTGAAAGTACATTCTAATTTCTAAGCAATGTTTTCGTAATGGGATCCATTCATGGGGATGTTAATCAAGTAGTATATAGTATGATTTGTTGTTGTGTCAAAGATGGTATTGATCGATTTGACTTAATAATTGAAGTAGCTAGCTGATTATTTACAAGCGAGAAAAAAAAAATATATATCGGTGTTACATACGAAGTCAATAAAGTAAGAGTGTTAACCGATCTGATTTCTATTTGACAATTTTGTTTCCTGTCGATTGACGATGCAGCTAACCAACTACTAATATGTGCAATTAAATTGAAATTCAATGGATCAACACCCTAATTGGACTATAACTATGGAAGCTTGGTTCCGGATATCCAATCCGATCCACTCTTTGCATGTCTGCTTGTCGTGAATCTCATTTGCACCTGTACAGATCGAAGGGAGTTTTCGCGCCCGTTTCGACAAATGTGTAGTGTATATTGTTCTCTAGTGAGAGAGAGAGAGCGAGAGAGAGAGATTGAGAACGACCCTCTTAAATGTGGCCACTTCCCCTATTTGTAATCTATGTTCTCCCTATAGTCTTTTCCTTAATATGATCATCCTTGTCACCGCATTAATTGCTTTGTATACTTCTACAGTTAGGCGCCTCAACAAAAGCTCTTAGTGGCAGAATTCGTTAGGCGCATGAATAATGATTTTAGCTGTGGTTCATACTGACCACTGTCTTGTTGCCATCCTTATTGTTAGGGTTGGCTATTTGGTCCGGGCTATTTGGTTTTACCCGAAACCGGACCGTATAACCCGGATCGGGATCGGATCGGAACCGGATTGAAAACCGGATAAAGGCCGGATAAGAGAGCCCAACCCCCAAAACTTAACCAACTCCTCAGCCTTTGAGGCCTCAACCCACTCAAATTCCTATAAGCTCAATCTAAAATCAAAACCGAATTGGGACCGGTCCGAATCAAGACCGGACCGGACCTTGTATTCCCGAAAAGACCGAACTGGGACCGAATCAATTCAGGCCAAATTAACCGGACCGTATAGCCACCCCTACTTATTGTTACACACCTTATGTTGGTGTCTTGAGTTTGGTAGGGTTGGTCCGACCTATACAGACCCAACAATAACTCATGATCTTTCTCGTCCTTCAACCTTTTCTCCTAAGATATGTCAACGAGGCGTTATCACCCTATAACTTGTTATCTCTCCATTTTGATAAATTTGCTAATCTATGTCATTTTTTTACGGGAACTTGAGAAATATATTAATCAGAGGTTGCTGCTACATCATCCAGTTTTAGTTGATCAACAATGAACATTGGAGGTCTATCTAACCAGACTAGCCTCTCCTCCCAATTCGTCAAAGAATGTGCCATCTTGTGTGCTACCTCGTTAGCTTCCCGCTTTATATGCTTGTAATTGCCACCTCCAAGTTCCGTCATCATGCGTCTGATGCTTCTGCAAAGAATTCCAATTTCCGTTTCTATATGAAGCCCTCTCTGCAGCTTCTGAATCAAGGAGAGGCAGTCACTTTCCAGAACAGGGTTGGAGACTCGCAAGAAGATTGCCATTTGCAGGCCCATTTCAGCTGCAAGTGTCTCTACAAATTCTGGCTCCCATTGCCCTTTAATGCGCTTCGCCGCAGCTAGCAGGAATCGACCTGTACTGTCTCTTATGACCACGCCAAGCCCTGCACCGCCCTCGGTGAAAATTGCTGCATCCGTGGTGATAGAATGATGGCCAAGTGCAGGCATTCCACAAGACGTACTGGCTGGTTGTATAGTCCTGCAGAAAGAAATGAGTTTTGGCTGTTATCTCGTTCTCTTCGAGCTTTATGCCATTGAACATGTGGGCATTTCGCTCTTTCCATAAGAACCAAAGGAGTACTTCCCATTCCTCAAGAACCGCATCATCCACGACATTCATCACTGCCGAAATCCAGTCATAACAGTTGCCCTGCGACCGCATTTCAAAACAAGGTTTAAGAGTAGAGGCTCGCCAAATTCTTTTACTCCAATCACACTCGCCGAAACGGTGGATCTGTGTCTCCCTTAGATTGCAGTAGGGACATTTATCCCCCCATCTCTTGCTCTTCACACTTATATGGTCACCCATAGGTAAGGCTTCACGCGCGAATCTCCATAAAAAAATGTCAAACTTTCGCTTGAATCTGAAGACCCCATAGCCTTTTCCATACACGTGCCTCCCCGTAAGGTGAGAGACCTGCGGACACCATAAACTGCTGGTACCATTTAGCATATCCATCTGTCACTGAGTATTCCCCGGGTTTGTTTCCATGCCATATGAGCTTATCTGTTTCACCATGACCACGAAGGGGAATTACTCGAACTACCTCCTCCATCTCCGAGCTCAAACAGCTTGCAAGCATACTTCTGTCCCAGTCCCATGTCTCTTTGTCAATCATCTCACACCAGTGCATCGACCGGTAAACCAACTGGACTTGAATTGATAAAACAGCTAGGGGCCGATGGTACCCATTTGTCACCCCAAATCCTTATTGTTCTCCCATCTCCGACTCTCCAGCGCAGACCACAACATAACAGCTCCTGCGCCGACAATAAGCTCCACCACAGAAAGCTTGGGTTAAACCCGACCGTAGCATCGAGAATCGAGGTTCTCTTATGGTGTTTCGCCTTCCAAATCTTCACAATGAGAGAGTCCGGTCGTTGTAATAGTTTCCATAGCTGTTTTGCCGAGAGAGCTTGGTTAAAGCCTCTAAGATCTCGAAATCCCAATCCTCCCTCCTCCTTAGGAACCGTTAGCTCCTCTCTCTTGACCCAATGAGCCCATCTTTCGGTTCCTCTTTGGCCCCACCAGAAGTTGGTAATAAGGTTGTGGACTTCATCAATGACTTCATCCGGAACTTTAAAAACTGACATGGCATAGGTAAGTTGAGCTTGAGTTACCAATTTAATTAGGACCTCTCTAGCTGCAGCAGACAAAGTCTTTTCCTTCCATCCTTTTAACTTTTTCTGGATCTTGTCCATAATTCCTGCAAAAAGTTCTTTCTTTGACCATCCATAATCTATGTCATTGAACACCCTCTTAATTATCATCCATCTTACTCCCCATACTCACCCACCCTATTACACATCCATCAATAATCCAAACTATATCAATAATTACCCCTACAGTTGAACCATATGGGAAATTAAACCACGGTTTAGACTAGACTGTATAGTTTGATCCGAACCGTGATTCCAATATCACATGGCGAGCGAAGCGACTGACCCGGTAATTCAAAACAGTCTCGACATCTTTGCACTGGGGATTGAATACGAGAATCTTCTGAATCACTTGGGAGACGGAGAGAAGTGATAGCACAAAGAGTAAGAGGGAAACAAAGTTATTTGTTGTGTATCTGAATAGAGTAGTAGAGACTGTAGTAGTAGTAGTAAGAAATCGAAAAAGTTCACTTCTCCTCTCCTATTTCTTCGCGAGTTAATTACATTCAATAAATTTTTATTTCAATATGATATTGAACACTGAACTTTTTATTTTTATGGATATCAGGGGAGGATCGGAGGAACGAAGAAGAGTAATGTTTGTTAAACATGGTCTGCCTAGTCCAAACCGTACCAGACCGCATCATATAGGTGTGATCTGATATGAATCATATAGTATATAATCTAGTTCCGTGGCGGAGACAAGTGTTGAGGAGTGGGGTCTGAGTACCCCACTTGGCAAAAAAATTAGGCAAAAATCCATTAGATACGTAGGTTTTAGGAAATCTTAAAACTTAGGACCACATAGTCTCACTAATTTTAGCTATATTTAAGAACTTCAATCAACTCAAACTCTATTAAAGGCATAGATTTTAGCATTGCCAATTTTTAGAATCCCAGTTAACCTGAAGTCGGCCTACGCAACTAATCTAGTCCATAATCTGTATTCTAATCTCTCAATCTGAACCACAAACTCTATATATAGTACAACCTTTATCCAAAACCGCACCCATTTACTGCCCCTAATTACCCCAACCCTCTTGAATCCCAAGCTCTTCCCCACCTTGACCCCACCCTACACCTCCCTCCCACCACCCTAATAATTTATTCACAACAACAACAAAGGAAGACAAGACACCCTTAATATTTTCACACTAGCTAATTCCCATGTTCACATGCACCTTCCCCCCTTAATCCCCAAAACCCAACTATAAATTACACCAAAACCCAGCCGCCTTTATTTCCCCATCCCAATAACACCAACTAATTCGTCTCTCTCCCCTAACACCTTCCCTTCTTCTCTCTCTCTCCCCCCTTCTCTCTGTGCAATGGACAACTCATCGGCCACCGGCGGGAAGTACTCGACCCAAGCCATGGTGGACGGTGTGGACCGGCCGACGCCGAACCATGATACTATTCATCAACACAAAGGGTTGCGAACCGGCGAGCTGGTTCTAAGAGCTGGAGCCCTGTTGCTAACCTTGGCCGCAGCCATAGTGCTGGGGATCAACAAACAGACCAAAACGGTGCCGGTTCAGATCATCAGCACCATGCCTCCCGTCAACGTCCCCGTCTCCGCCAAGTGGCACTACCTCTCCGCCTTCACGTAAGTCCCATCCTATCTACGAATTTTTATCCGACATGTGAAAACCTCAAATTTCCATTAAGTTAATGACATTTATCATAGTAAAGTTTGTTACTTGATTTTCTATGAAAAATAATATTTTTATTTTAAATTACATACTTATTATGAAGCCGGTACGAGTATCGAGAATTAAGATACTCTTTATTTGACCGGTGGTGAAGCTAGAAATTTGATCGAGGAGAATTGATCTGAACTCTCGTAATTGGGAGATGGCACTAAAGTTTTACTGACTATTCTAATATCTAAATTCGAACAAAATTTACATTTAATTTTATCAATATTTTAAAGTTAATGAGCGCTACAACCCTTCTAACTTCAACCTATTGTTGTGAAGTTTCAGGTTAAATCAATTTTCTGTGGTTGTAATATATTTTTCTGTGGTGGCTTATTGCAGGTTTTTCGTGGTGTGCAACGCGATAGCCTGCGCCTACGCCTTCTTCTCTCTCTTGCTGGCCCTGATCGGAAAGAAGGGGGCCGCCGCGGCGACGGTGATCCTGGACCTGCTGACGGTGGCGCTGCTGTTCGCCGGGAACGGGGCGGCCACGGCCGTGGGGCTGATCGGGTACAAGGGGAATTCGCACGTGCGGTGGAACAAAGTGTGCAACGTGTTCGACAGGTTCTGCCACCAGGTCGCGGCGGCGCTCGGGCTGTCGCTGGTCGGCTCCGTGCTCTTCGTGCTGCTCGTCCTCGTCGCCGTCGTAAGGCTTCACCGGAAGTATTGATATTCCAATTAATTGAAAAGGACTAGTGTGGTGGTGCTCTTTTTTTATTTTATTTTAATTCTAGTCTTTGTTATTATTGTAAAGCGTGTGAAGATATTTAATTAATGTTCGTTTAAGTTCAATTATTTATAGTCTTTTGTCGTGTCTGAAATTGTGATTCAATGGAACTTTACTGGAAGCGGAAACTGGGAATAAATAAATAAATAATACTATAACATGAAATAAGAAGAGGGAAAAAACTGGTCAAGCAACAGCAGCAGCTGCGTAACGTCTTGGTAAAGCTCATTACAGAGCAGATCCTGAAGTCAGGAGTCGTTATTAAGACTTTTAAGATCCATATCCTTGGTTGAAGCTGACAGAGTGACAGTTATCTTATATGGTTGATATGTGATTTAGGTCTTAGGAAAGTAATTATTCAAATTATGGTTCATCAATGGCAGACCAAGGATTATTTAAGAGGGGTGTCGCCGATAAAAAAATATAATAAATAAAATAATTAAATAGAAATTTAATAGAAATTACTGGAAATTCATTTATAAGTTCACAACGTCATGTTTACTATGAATTATGACGATTTTTCATATCCTGAATTTTTTTTAAAATACATTCATCGTTTATGTTGCAAATCAAACCCTTTTCGATGTAAACAACTACATAATCATTCATAAATTAGTCACTCAACCAAAGAGAATCGACCTACGTCTAAAATCAAAGTTAAAATAGATTAGTTTACAATCAAATATAGTAAACTACAATCTACCAATTGACAATTTTAGAAAAAACAAAGTATGCCTAAAGTAATATCATTAGCATTTTTTCTCTAGTTCTACCAAATTAACCAAAATCAAACCACAATCTCCCACTCACCTATTAACTACAAATCGACAAGTTAAATTGGTTTGTGGGTTACTTAAAACAATCATGCTTATTCCTTCAAAAAATAAAAAAACAATCATGCTTATTTGATTTTACTATTATTGTTAATTACTAATTATGATGAATAACTTTATAGCATTAAAACTATTGTTATATAATGAAGGTGTGTCGCTTATAATCATTAGAGAGGTGTCGGAGGTATCAAATTAAAAAAATTTGTACAAAAAAATGGAGGTCCTTCACAAAATTTCCGGGCGGAGGGGTGTCGGATGACACCTCTGCCCTTGCTCTAGGTCCGCCCCTGTGGCTCATCGACTAATTCATGTCAATAACTCGGATTGTTGAGAGATGTTCAATAATGGATCTTATACCATTTACTCACACGTTTCCTTCAAATGAAAGTTACTTATAAAGGTTTGAAGTTAGCACATATTCAAATATTGTGTTCTTAATAAATGGGGATCATAGAGATTCAAATACAAGATCTCTCGATGACAAAAAGGATGTGATTTGAGAATTTAGAAAAATAATTATACAGATAATGGCACCTCAACTAATGCAGCATAGTCAAACAATTCTTGTCTACATGACCACGACTACGAAACAACATTTTATCTAAATTTTTATTAAGAATACAAATCTGTGATAGTGTTTAAAACAATATATATATTTCCATCTCATCCTTCCCATACAGAAGGAAATAGTAGATATGCAAAAGCTGGCTGACCTCAAGGGGCGGGCGGTGTTATATAGGTGGCATTCAATGCCCAAATGACAGATTGTTGAGAAAATGCTATGGTCTATGATAGAGTTGCATCATTGCCTATTCTTAATTATTTTGTCCTTTGAATGAAACCTACATCCTCTTCCACCTCACTCTCCACACTAAGATGGTAGGGTGGCAGTTCGGTTATTTCGGTTATAACTGGTAACCGATCAGCCGGTTATCGGTTAACCGAAATAACCACTGCCCCTACCAAAAACCGCCCGAAATAGGCTTCGGTTTTTTGGTTATCTCGTTTATCGGTTAACCGAACCACTTTTAACACCAAAAATCATTTCGTCCAACCTCCGATAACCGACCGAAGTTCGGTTACCGGTTAGTGGATAACCGTCTAGTTATCAGTTTAACCGATCGGTTAACCGATAACCGGTAACCGAACTGCCACCCCTGGATGGTAATGGTACATTCTCTTCGTCAAGAGCAATGAGTCGAGTTTCTCTAAACTATCATTATTCTCATTTCTAAAATCATATATTCATGTGAGAGGCGAATTTGCGACTTCAACATCATACTTATGATATTTCAGGCGTTCGTGGAAAATATTAACCTCTTATATTCATTATTATTATACTCAGAATTCAACATGTAGAGCTTCGATTATAAAACCAAAAGGATCTAATTAGTCATGAAATCACCAAACCTACGATAATTCTTAATACGAATTCAAATCATCCAATTATAAATGTCCATTAATCATTAAAAAAAGTACAATATTATCCAAATAATTCCTATCCGACTCCATAATCTTTTCTATAAGATAAAAAATTATCGTGTAGTACTGAATCCAATTTTTTCCCTTAATAAATTGGATCCTCGGTGAATTAATAAGATTTGGGTTTCAATAGATTAATAAGAATATGATTTTCAATAGATAATAATTTTGGGTTTCTTAATAGATCACATGCAACCTTTTAGGAGTGGTTTGGAAGTTGTGAGTCTAATCATTGTATTATAATGAAGAATTGTATTATAAATACATGTATTGGTACAATAGATGTATTTTGACATTATATTGTTGGATGTTGAGATTGGAGTTTATTAATTGATAAATGAAAAGAAAAAGTACAAGTCTAAAACCAACAATCTCAATTTTTAGTTGAGATTATATAATGTATAGTTTTTGTTGATTGTAGTTTGGACCTGCACAAAACAATACATGCCTAATGGTCACAATTGGCACTTGCACAAAACAATACATGCATTTTGACATTATATAATGCATAGTTTTTGTTGATTGTAGTTTGGACCTGCACAAAACAATACATGCATAATGGTTCACAATTGGCACTTGCAAATGTCATATTATACACAATATATGTATTAAATAAACACAATCATAACAATTAGGGGTGGGCAATGGGCGGGTTGGGTGGATTATGGTCTAAAATTGACCCACCCGCTTACTAGCGGGTTGAAATATGTGTGACTCGCAATCCACCCACATACTTATGCGGGTTGAGTTGGGTGGGTGGCGGATGGGTGCGGTTGGGTCGTGGGTCAACCCGTAAAAGCAATTCTCCAACTAGGCATTAAGAAAATTGACTAACATTTATAATAAGTTCATAGCAAATTAGTAAGATTGTATGATTATTTTGTGATTTTGATACGATTAATAATTTATAGTTTGTATCCCAATATTTTATGGACATTAACAATAATTTGCATACCAATACCCAATATCCAATGGATATTGCACAACACAATAACCAATAATAGTAGTCAAAAGTCAAAACTATTCTTTACTCTCCACCTTTGAAGTATATGGTAAGACTATAGTGCAGTTCGAAAATATGATGAATATTCGATACTATAAGAAATAACATTTTTCCATGTAAAAATAGGATGCAGGCCATATGGGCGACCCGCAATCCACCCACCATCCACCCACATAAGTGCGGGTGAGATATTTAACAATCCACATTCCACTCACATCAATCACCCACTGTGTGTGGGTCAGGTTATTTGCAGGTGGATCAATATCAAGTCGCGGATTAACCACCCACATACCCACCCTACTAACAATCACAACTTCTAAACGAACCCTTATTTTTAAAATAGAACAATTCATTAAAGAAAGAGAGTGAGGAAAACAAAAAGGAAATTATTAATTGAGGAAGCATGCACCACAGCACCAGTTGTACTTTAACTTAGCTTTGGTTTATTTCCTCATCAATTCCAACCCACATTGAATTAACCTTTTGTCTTGAAATTATAATTGCATACTGCATTTTATTGGTTTAGATTTTTACTAAATTTTCAAATTGTATTAATTTTATATAATGGCAATGAAAATTTTAATCATTATTATAAAGAGATGAATATGTAATTAACAGAAAATAAAATTACACATTCAATCGGCCGCGAGGTAATCTAGTGAAATAATAAGCAATTGTCGCATCACGCCATCTAATAGTGCGACAAATATTTAGAGATAGTTTGGTTTTTGTGATAATTAAATAGATGCATTGTTATCAATGCATGCATAATAATATACATGTATATAAGAAAATTGATGTATTATTGTTTACATCGTTTGGTTTCTGTAATAGTTATTCTAGTATTTAAATAAGATATATTGCTTTCTGGGTGAAATGTCACTTTTACCCTTTGTTTTTATTATAAAAAAATAAAACACATCAAAAGGTAGGGACATAGTTGAAAATAGAAAACGCTCCAACAATCTCAAACTTCTCACAAAAAACTTGAGATAATACTATCACTTATTTTGAGTGATAGTTTCCATCACATCAAGCAAACAATGTATGTATAGTTTGTGCAGAAAATAAAAATAAAAAACATTATGAACAATGCATGCATTGTAACTATCCCAACCAAACAGTCACCAAAATCCACTGATTGAACCCGACACCAAAAAAAGGGACCGAAACCGAATGTTCAGCCAAAATCCAGGCCCAACGGGGGCTGTCACATGTGGCAGATGACATGGCGCCAACAAGGTGACAACATGACGGCTGCACATGTGGCATACATGGAAGACTAGTAGCATAGAGATGCTCCTAGGATTCTCCACCTAAATGAGAGCTTAATGGTGCACTTATGAGTCACATAATGGGTGGCATTTATAGAGTGCATAATGGGGGGGACTTAATAGGGTGTATTGATTTAGTAGAGAGACATTATGAGGGGCATTGATGCCTTGTATGAGGAGAGGCCTATATAAGGAGCCATCTCCCTCACTTGTAACTCATTCCATCATTTTTTAGAGTAATACACACTAGAGAGTTCTCTCAATCCTTTGTCTTTGCTTTCTTGTACTTTGCTTGCTTGTGAGTTTGAGAGAAGGATGCCTAGCGCTCTAACGGAATTGAGAGCTAGGGCCGCACGATCGAGAGTAAGGTCGTGACAAGTGGTATCAGAGCCCGGTTCGACTTTGTGCTTGCACAGTAGAAGCAATAGCCAAACGAAAAGGAAGAGCCTCACCAAAAATGTCGGGATCAGATAGCGGCGTTACCGAGCAAGAGAAGCACCGTGGAAGGGATACAGTAAAGAATCCCAAGCCAAAGGGTGACAAGTCCAGCACTCATGATCCTATGACGTCTTTAGAGAGGCGTGTCTCTAGAGTGTAAATGAAGGTGGCGGAAGACATCACTGCCATCGAGGATTTGGAAGCTAACTTCGCCCAAGTCCAAAGAGATGTTCAAGGTATGAATGCTCGTTTGTCGAGCTTGGAGATTGGTCATGATGGCATACGAGAAGAGCTTGTGGCCCTCATCAACAACACCATCAACGCATCCTTGAACAACGCCATTGAAGTTGTGAAAGAGCACGTCCAGGCTGAGCTGGTCGGCTTGAACGAGGAGATTGCAGACCTCAAGAGTGAGGTCACTCTCGTGAAGAGAGCCATGGCTAGCGGACCAGCCCCGGTGCAATCCATCCCACGTGCTGATGTTCCAAAATCGAAGAGCTTCGGAGGTTCAAGTAACGCGAGGGAGTTAGAGAACTTCCTTTGGAGTCTTGAGCAGTACTTCAAGGCGTCCGGCATCCAAGAGGATGAGGTAAAACTCCGTACTGCTCCACTTTACTTGGTTGATGTTGCCATGGTGTGGTGGAGGCGACGTGAAGCGGACGTCGAAAGAGGTACTTGTGTGATGGTAACGTGGGAAGATTTCAAGAGAGAAATCAAGAAGTAGTTCTACCCATAGAACGTTGAGTTTGAAGCCCGTTCGAAGTTGAGAAGACTCACCCAGAGGGCTGGAGTTCAAGAATATGTGAAAGACTTCTCGGAGCTGCTTCTAGAGATCCCAGACATCACGGACAAGGAGGCCATGCACGGCTTTCTTGATGGGCTGCAACCATGGGCCAAGATGGAGATGCAGCGTCGAGGAGTGCAAGACCTTGCAACTGCAATGGCCACGGCGGAGTCTTTTGTCGAGTACAAAAGGCAAGAGAGCAGCGGCAAAGAGAAGAGTTCGAAGCCCAACAAGGGTGGAGAACAGCAGAAGCCTTTCAAGGAGGGCACTCGCACTCAACAACACCAAAGTGGTTCAAGCAAAGGGGGTAAGTACGAGCCAAAACCTATGTCTTGTTTCCTTTGCGATGGACCACATCGAGTGCGGGATTGCCCAAGGAAGGCGAGATTGGCGGCCATGAAAGCTCAAGAGGAGGAGCCCAAGGCGGCGGAGGCCAAGATTGGCTAAATCCTCAAGCTTGGCGCGGTAAAGACCGACGTCAAGGAGAGCAAGCGTGGGAGGTGCTATGTTCTGGCGCAATTCGTGCAAGGCGAGTCAAAATTCTTGGTGGATACCGGTGCCACGGACAACTTCCTTCGCATCGAGGAGGCAAACCGGCTGGGTATTGCCTACGAGAAGGGGCAAGGGAGGCTCAAGACGATCAACTCGGAGTCCATCCCGATCCATGGAGTTGCTCACAACGTACCAATGAAGCTTGGCGAGTGGGAAGGCCTCATCGACTTTTCCGTCGTCACCATGGACGATCACCCAGTCATCCTCGGCATCAACTTCCTCGACAAGGAGGGAGTGCTCTTGAAGCCCAACTCCAACACGATGTGCTTGGAGAAGGAAGGGGAGTTCCATGCGGTCCATCTCTTGAGAGAAGATGGCCCC